GTGTGACAAGACAGGCTGGACACTAACCAGATAAAAAGTGACCTTTGCAGAAAAGTACCTGGAGATCCCAGCAGGTAAAAGGCTGAAAATGAGATGGCAGTGTACCCTCACAGCAAAGGAGGCCAAGCACACCCTGGGCTATTTAGCAGGAGTCTAGCCAGCTGGCCCAGGGAAGTAATCCATCCCCTCTATTCAGCACCTGTGAGACCACTTGGAGCACTGCGTCCAGTTTTGGGCTTCCTGGTACACAACAGACATTGACACACTGGAACAAGTCCAGAGGAGACCACTGAGCTGGCCAGGTGGCAGGAGCACATGATGTACAATGAGAGGGTGACAGAACTGAGTTTGCACAGCCTGGGGAAAAAAAAAAAAAAGAAAAAAAAAAAGAAAAAAGCTCAGAGGAATCCATACTGCTGTCTACAATTATCTAATTGGAAGGGTGCAGAAAAGACAGAACTGGACTCTTCCGGATGTGACAGGACAAGAAGCAACAGACAAGTTGGAAAGCCAAGTTCACTTCGCTTAAGGAGATTGGGTGGGGTTTTTATTGGGGGGTATCATTATGAGAGTAATCAAACAAAGAAACAGGTTACCCAGAAAGTTTTTAAGGGCCGGAACAACCTTTAAGAAATTGCTCTTACTTTAATTTAAGCAGGGAGATGGATTAGATGACCTCCAGAAGTCTCTTCCAACCTAAATGATGCTATTTCACTAATGTATTACTTCAACTGCCTAGGATTCTATTTCATAAACTTTCATTCAGCAATTTTTGCATCAAGTTTATTACTTCTAATTATGTATTTAAAAATATCAGTTGTCCTGTACATACAGGAAGCATGAATCCAATGTGGTATACAAAAATGTTAACATCTCTTACCTACTGCCCTTAGAACAACTTCCTTTCATACCACTATGCTTCCCCTACAACCAGGAAACATAGGTTTTCAGCATCAAAATGACTTTGCACTTTTAAGCTTACTTGACAAACAAAAAAAAACAAAACAAAAAAAAAACAAAACAAAAAAACATGCCTTCTTTGATATCCTGATTCATGTTTCAGGGATGATGACAGTAGGAACATATAGCACTTTAATGCACCTTGCTTTGTGGCAAAACCTATTTTTTCCTCTGTCCACTTAACATCAGTAGAATCATCTTTGTCCATGCTATTCTTTCCAAAGAGAAGAAACATTCCACCAAGGAAACAATACTGCAGAGGTTTTTCACAAGAACCTTACTCATCTTTCAGAGTAATCTATTTAACTAAGCAGGTTTTGGAAACCTTTTTTTAAATTATTTATCTATGTACTGTTTATAAACAGTCACACCCAACAAACTATTTTTTCTCTTTCAGCTTCACGAAGTCCACTCTTGGAACACTTCTGGTATCAAAATCAAGATACACCTTAGAAGACACCAAGGTATTTTCTAATAATTTACACATTGGGTTTGTGTGGTTTTGAATTTAAGAATACAGAAAAAGGTGAAAAAAAGCAATCTTCTCAAGTATGTCAGCTTTGCTTGTGAACCAAGACTCTATCAAAGACAAAAAGATTCCCTTCAGCAATCTGGCATACAATAACGGCTCCTTTAATAGCTGTACCAGTATAACAGAGTAAGATCAAACCCAGAACAAACTGTCAAAGGTATGAATTTCAGAAAGCATCTCATGAAAGTATACCTGAAAACATCTTCATCTCCATTAAATGGACACTTCTATGAAGTTCAGTGTTAATACTCAAAATGTGCATTTTAATTTTCAGTTAGGTAAATCAAGATTAAACTTCATGGGAAGAAACCAAGAGCCATTACAGGAAAGATTAGTATAGGTAGTGGTCAAAACAGGAAACAAACATTCAGTATTGCACTTTGACACTTTTCTGCACCCATTTGTTTTAGAGTGCTGCTATGCTTGATACCAAGATCAAAAGTGCTCACGCATCAGTCCACTGGGTACATAAAATGGGTATAATCCAATGACAAATTAATCTAGACTGTAAATCAGAAGGTATGTAATTACTAAGGTCAGTCAAGTTTGAAATAACCTTTCAATTACAGCAAAGGTGATAACAATATACAGCTGATTATTTTAAAATTAAAGCTGATTAAATTTACAAAAGTCCCTACCTAACAAAGCCCAGCCCGCTCCTTGAAATTAATGGATCAACAAAAAGTTTACAAAGAAAGGATATGCAGAAGAAAACCACAGCTGCTTCTATGGACACACGGAATTAAAAGAGAGAGAGAGGAAGCTCTTACAAGGCAGCAGTCAATTTAACGTTGCTGAAAGTAAAATGAATCATAAAATAGTTTGGGTTTGGAGAGGCCTTAAAGGTCATAGAGCCACTAGATCAGGTTGCTCCAAGCCCCATCCAACCTGGCCCTAAACACTTCCAGGGATGGACCATCCACAACTTTTCTGGGCAACCTGTTCAGTGCCTCACCACTCTCATAGTTTCTTCCTTATATCTAATACAAATCTGTCCTCTTTCAGTTTAAAGCCATTACAAATGATACCATGGCTTCATAATCATTGTAAGCCAGTACTGAGCGGAAAAAAGAAGAGTTCCTGCTATCATTACTATGATTTGCTACCTTCACAAGTGGCATAAGCCAATCAAGACCACAGGGTAGCCTCTTTTAGCAGTAGTGCCTTCTTATGCTAACTTACTATAAAACCATGACCCCCAATAAATGCATCACCCACCACATGTGATTGTACCAGAACTGCTGTTAGCCTTCCTCCCTACCAGCACGCTTCTTCCTCCTCTGGATTAAGACAAGATCCATATGGCCAGGCAAGTGAGCTGGTTCAGGAAGCTGTTCTAAAAAGTAATTGGGGGAGGGGGGGGGGGGATGGAAGGGAGATGGAAAGAGGGGGAAGCAAAAAAAAAGCAAAAAAAAAAGAAAAAGAAACAACAGGAAAAAAAAAAGTACTACATTTTGACCAGGTAAGTTCTTTACTTACTTTTTGGCTGTGGAAGTCCCATTGACAACACAAGGGAAGGAGCAGCCACAACTCAGATTGTCTTGGGAGTATGCATCAAGAACCTGGCTTCCACAGAAAACCACATTATGCCCTCAATCTTTTTGCAACCCCCTTACTAACATTACCAAATTCTAATCTGCTAATCAAATCTTAAAGGACTGAATGCTATTTTTAACCAAGCAATATATTTCATTGTAACTATCTTAAAGAAAACATTGCGGAGTACTTTCAATAATGCTCCAATTCAGCTTCCACTCTTCCAACTCTGGAGTCAATTTGTGCTTACCATATGTAACTATATTTGGAGTCTCTTCAAGTTTAAACTGCAAACTAACCCCTTAATTGGTGCCATTAATACCATCTAACCCACACAAATGCTACTAGTTACTATCCTACCTAAAACCTAGACACAAGCATAACTTGCAGGACTAATCTTATGCCCCCAGTAAACCTTCATAAGATCTGGAGCTTGAGTGACAGGCTTGAGTTTGATGGGCACTCAGGATTTTGGCCTGTATCACAGAGATTTGACCAAATAAAATCATAGTACCTTTCTTGAATTTAAAGGGATAAGAAGCTGTTGCATGTATTATCACCAAAATTTCTCTGGAAACAGAAAGGACAGTTCCTCTCCTGCAAGGTTGTAAAAGTCACCAACATGGTTGTGAGGCTACAGCTTAACAATAAAAGGGAAAAGCAACACTTTTTTAAGCCAGCTACTTCTTACTTGTTGCTAGATTTGTTTCCATTTTGAAGAAAAACTGACATTTTAAATCTTTTTTCTTTCCTCTCACAAAAGAATGGATGCATACAGCTACGAAATGTGCTAAACTGATTTACAATACTATGAAAAACTATTTTAATAACACAGTTTTGAAAGAGTGACAGCAAGAGCAAAGTACATGCCACACTTCAGAAACTTAAAATGAGCAGAGCTGCCAAGTCCATTTTATTCAGAGCGCCATACCTACTTCAGACACTTTCACCAGGTTTTGAAGCACTCTAAAGACAAGGATTTTTACACCAGGTCAAGGTTGGGAAGGGCCTAACTGTTAAAGAGGGTTAAGGAAAAAGAAGAAATAACACAACAAGAAGACGCAGATGCATTTGAGCCATGCAGACACGGACTAGGACAGTAGTTTGCTAGTTTTGGCTCTTGGGAAGTGACTTCACTTTTCCCAAGGAGGAGGAAGGAAGGTAGACACTTCCACCACCTTCTCCCTTCCCTCACCACGAAAACAATTTGATTTTTTAAATCCTCCACTTTGCTCCAGCTTCATTCCTCCCGAAGCAGCATTACCCCAGCGCCCAGCCACGCACAGGTAACATCAGCCCCCCAACACAAACCCAAGAAAACACGACGAAGCAGCACCACCCCCCGAACAGCCACGCACCTCGTGCCCCCTCCTTCCTCCGCCGCCTTAACGGGGGCCGGAGTCAGCAGCCGACGGCTCCCGGGGCCGCACAGCCTGCCCGGAGGCGGCGGCCGTGCCGGCAGGGCCCGCCGGAGGAGGAAGCCACCTCAGGTCACTGGGCACTGTCACCCTGTGACGCGGGGCGCGCAGGCACCCTTCTTCCCCCGCCTGTTCTCCTGAGGGAGCGACGACGTTTCCCGCTTCCACCCTCACGAGACCCCCACCCCCTCGCCTCGCCCTAGCGAGGGAGGCCCGCGGCAACATCCTCCCCTCTCACCGATGGCAGCCGAGCCTTTCTCCCCGCTCTGTCTCCGGTCCGGCCGCTGCCTGGCTCAACCACCAGCTCTCTGCGCAGCAGAGGGGCAAGCCAGGCGAGAACGTCTCGGCGGGCCGCGCAGCCGCCTCAGGGCTGGGCCAGCGCCGTCCACATTCCGGCGGCGGGTGGATGGCGGAGCGGGCGGGGGCGCCTGCGCGCACCTCTCCCCTCCCACCACTGACACGGCGCTAGCGCCGGCACCGAGGGCGGCCGGGTGGAGCGCGGGGAGCGATCGGCCGTTAGCTGCTCCCGGCACCCGTTTCGGATCTGCTGTTCCTCATGGCGGGTTCTGGTGGCCGAGAGGAACGCGGTGAGCGAGCTGCCCCGCCTTGGGCGGCCTCGGGGACCGACCTGCGCCGGGACTGCCGCCGTGCTGAGGGTGCTCGGTTTGGCCGCCGAGGGTCCAAGTTTGTCTTAAGTTCAGCGTGGTTTCGTGCGAGTGCCGCCTTCAGGAGATTCTGCCCTTTACAGGCGATCGGTTTCGCAGAAAGGCTGGCGCCGAAAAGTGTCAAACTTCTTGACCACACTGAAGAGCAATGGAAGTGACCGACAAATCATGGCACTCTTAAAAAACGTTTTGCCTTTTCTTCTCATAACCCAGCCTCACTAAGCAGTCGCTTGTGTTGGCTTATCAACAGTGTTTTGGTATGGTTAAACAAATGTTTAATATTTAAATAGTAAATATAAGTGTATGTTGAAACACTTAAACATAAACAACGTTGATAAGTACATTTAAATAATGAAAGGTTGTCCTGTTGGTTTTTCTTTCTTTTTTCTTTGTCTTGTGTGTGAAACAAATTACACTTAACCACAAAATTTATACAGCTTGTCTCTATTCTTTCCATTTCAGATGTGGATTAGCAAAACCTTAAGGAATGTCAGACCACAGCCTTAACGTAACTTTGTTGTGTGAAAGGCTGTGTCCAGTTTCCCTGGGATTCCCCGTGTGGGCGCTGTTTGTACGTTCTTCTGTCAGTGGCGTCGAGAGCTGGGAATGCCGTGCTCCTCACGGTAACAGCAGGATAGTGGGTCTGCTCCCACAGCTCATGTCTGAATGACACAGGTGTGGAAAGGAAAGGCGCTAGCCGCAGTGCTTTTAGCCTCCCTCTCCCGTCACCGCTGCCTGCTGCAGAGGTACGCTGCTGGGAAACCTCGGGGTAAGGTTGAAACACAGTTACTTGTAGCAGCAATAACACTGAAGTCTGATTTTGGAGATCTTTCTGATGCACTGCAAGAGCACAGCTACTGAAGGTTTATGAGTCCAAGTTTTTCTTTCTCCTTAATGTTTGTTTGTATGCTGTGAAGAAAAACAAATCCTTAATATGCAGACAGGCAGAGAGGTGGTTTATTTCTTACGTGGTCTTTTTGCATGTAATGCTGTAACAAACCAGCCTCAAGGCTGGCAACGCAAGCAGACAAAGGAGAGCATTTCCCAGAGAAAAGAAAAGCAGGATTGTTTGCCCAGTTGTATGTTACACCAGCCCTCCCTCTTGCTTTCCTGCTGTTACTTTTACATATCTTCCCTAGTTGTCTGCAGCTAGTGTAAAACAAATTATCTTCAGATTATTCTTATCACACAACAGGGTTCACATAAACCACAAAAGCGTGGGGAAAGAAGAAAAATTCAAAGGGGGAGGAGAATGATTTTACTGAACATTACAATAGAGGAATAATAAGAAAAAAGTTCCCCTGGTATTGTACTCATATGCTGCAAGCTTATTTAATAATATGGGTAATAAACAGGAGGAACTAAAAGTCATTGTATTCATAACCAAAATTATGAATAAATTGTCATAACTGGTTATTGTTATGGAAATGTAGAATTTGTTCAGGAAGCCTCGGTACAGAGGTAGTGAAAATACTTGGATAATGGCAAATATTAAGAGCAAAGGCCCATTAACAACCCACAAATGAAAAAGATCAAGTGCATAGTGTTTTAGTTTGAATTAAATCATCCAAAGAACAGGAACTGGTAATAATGAGACATCAAAGAGCAATAATTTTGCTCCAAAAGGAATTTGGGAGACAGTATGGGTGACAGTGGTTGTTAAGTTAACTTAATGACTCTTCAAATGGGAAGGAAGGAAAATCAACAGACTTGAAGAAAATAAGTTTCAGTAAACTCACTGTCGGAATGCCAAATCCCACTGTAGCAAATCCAAGGAAAAGTACACTCTGGAAAGCTTGCCATTTCCTGTAACATCAACATAAAGGCCTCGGAGAGGAGTCTGCTAAACCATTTCAATGGCTTGCACCTTTGGGAAAAAGCAGAATCTAGGTTAAATTACTAAAACTGACAACAAAGTGACTGTTGTAATATGTAGAAGAAAGCCAGAAAGGTTAATGTACAAAATGAGCTAAAACTATCAGAGTCATAGAATATAACAACAAAAAGCTTATGTGAAAGATTACCAAGGAAGAACTGACTTGCTCTCAGGTGGGTGAGAGAACAAATCATGTAAGGAAGACCAAAACTGTTGGATGGTTTGTGATTATTTTTTTTCCCGTTGTTCTTCTCAAAAACGTCATCTGTAATCAGACAGCTTACATGGATAACATTAGACACATAAAACACACGATTTAAGGAACTAATCTACTGAAGCATGATGCTTACAGAAGTCATGTGCCAGGTAAGTTTCAGCCAACATATTTAGTAAAATGGCTAAGCAATCTCAAAATTTTTCGGAATTGCCATCAAGAACTCAGAAAAGATAGCTGAGGTTCCATGACACCAGGAAAGAGGAAACGGTGCCCACCCTGATGAAAGAAGGATGGTAATCAGAGGCCAGTCAGCTTTACTTCATGTCAGGCAGAATACTGAACAAATTATTAAGCAAATTGAACCCTTGGATGATAAGATTAGTAATAGCCAACCATAACATCTCAAAAACAAATAATTGAATCTTGACTTAGGCAAGGCTTCTGATGATGTCTCATCTAATACTCTCATAAGAAGGCTAGAAGACCATTGGCTACATGAAGCTTACACAAAATGGTTAGGGAATGGCTCTCAGAAGCAGTGTCAAGTGATTCACAAAAGAAGTCTGTAGCAAGCGAGATCTCCAGATGCTTACACATTCCAAGTCCTGAATGGCTTCTGTGATGCAATAGGATAGAGAATATTTGTATCATATTTGTGGAGGTTATCTTGTTCAGATTAGAGATGCAAGCATTTTGGAAGATGTAATTAGAACAGAACAAGTTGTGAGGAGCTGAAACAAAGATCTGAAGTAAATAGGATGTATTTCAACAAGGCGAATATGTATGTATAGCTGGGAATAACAGCAAAAATGTAAGCTGCAGACAAACTGGCAGTTACTTTACAGAAAGAAGCCTTGGTTCATAGCAATTCACAAATAGAAAATGAGTCAACAGTGATTTGGTGTTGCAAAAAAATGTGGCTGTTTCACTGAAATGTGGACGATGACTGTCAAACACAAAAGCAGCAAAATAATTCTTCTATTCCAGTAAGCTCAAAAAAGTTTTTGGTGAAGAAGAGCTCTCAGTTTTGGCCACCTCCTCTCAATTAGATTTCTGTGGAGAACATAAAGAACTACTGTAAGTCTGGACAATTTGGCCTGGAGTCATACTCAGTGACCGAAAGAAGTTCAGTTGGACATCTCAAGAGTCAAAGACATGAATGTACAGCCTAAAAAAAATATTCTGTTAAGAAAGCAGTCTATATGTGTACAAGAAAAGTGAATATACCTACCAGCCCGTATGTTTGATTATGGAAATAAAAAGTTTTTGCCACTCAACTCTCAAGTTAAAACACTTAATGAGACTTTGTTTTTTTAGTATACTTAAATCCTCATATCCTTAATATCCTGAGGTGTAATAAAAATCCTGAAGATGTAGAACATCCATACACTGAGAAAAAAATAGTTCTTTTGCCGCAGAAAATACATGGACTCAGTCAGAGATCAATATGATCAGACAAAAGCCATTTATTACAAAGCCTTAACCCCTTAAATACTATTTCTTACATGCACTTACAGTGATTTGGCATATTATGATTGGATACATGTCTTGAAAACCCTTTGCAACTAGCATATAATTGGTTAAGCACAGGTGTGGGAACTTGACCTCGAAAGCTTGCCAACAGTCCATAGTTCTCATTACATCAGTGAATTCTAGCTTCTTCTTATCTTGCTTGCTTAAGCTTCCTTGGGCCTCTCACAGCCTTGCTGTATCTGTCAGGATTATTCAGAGTTTATGTACCAATTATCCATTCTCCCGTGAGAACACTGTCTCCACATTCTTTTAAAATCCACCAAGGAAAAAATAAATAAAAATCAATGTCAGGCCTCTTCTGCGTTATCCACTACAGGAGCTGAAGCATAATATTGCTGGACAGATGGTGATAAAAGGAATCCACTTGCACACTTAATTGGAGCAATAAGTCCATGTGCATTAATTTCCACAACCTGACCTCTACAGAGCTCACACATAAATATTTGTCTTGACAGAGGGAATTTCATTTAACTTTCTCTGAAGGACAATGGAAAGCCAAGGTCATTCAGCCTGTGCTGTGAACCGGCATCTCCCACAACCCATCCTTCTGCCACTACCAGAGACTCATCTTTATCAGAAGTCAGGAAACTATCGAGTTTGTCTGGGGAGGCCTGAAAACAGGCTTGAAGTAGAATTCCTTTTTAGGAGGTAATTAAGCCTATCCCCATAAATAATAGGAAGAAAGTATAGCTTAGGCACTAATGCAGGGGGAGGATCTTGCCTCAGGTCTTTACAGTATGTTTGAGCACACTAACCTAATATATTGATCTTAGTGCTGGAGTAAGCTTTAGAACTCAGAAAAGCAAGTGACTTCTTACAGCTTTAGAACAAAGAGCATCGGAAGGAAATACTTAGGAATCATGCACTGACTTTTCCCTAGGGAGGTTCGATACTCTTAAAATCATGGGGCTGGTGCCAAACATTGTATGCTAGAGGTAAAATGGAGTCAAATTCCCTTCAAACGGTAACTAATCAATACTTGAACTTTACAGGAAGCATTTCACTTTTTGAATACTTATTAAGACTTTCTAGATACAAACTGTGGAGAAGTTAAGTTCGATGTATTAAAGATGTTCAGCACATTTCAAATATTCTAATTAATGGTGACACAGCCTTAAATAAACACACTGTTCACAATCAAGATGAGAATATAGATAATCTATTTTATAATCTGATTGTTAGTTTCCTGTATTTGGAGGGTCACAATGAGTTTATAAGTCATTTCTGACAGAACAAATGGACAAAAATCTGATGATGGTTGCAACTAAAGCAGTAGCTTAGTGTCAGCAGTATGAAGTGGGACAAAACACAGAAAATGTTGTTTCTAGAGTTTTAATATGAAAATGTGGCCTTTGTGTGAAGTTACAGCTACAGACCGAATTTCCAAATTCTTTCACCTTTAGCTGCCTCAAAAAACAGTATTATTCTATTTCAGAGAGAATCAGTTGAGATCTACACTACCCATGGTCACTTATATCTGAGACGGAATGGAATTTAGTCCTGGATTCCTATTGAACAGCTATAAAGTATTTTGATATTTTAATGAGATAGCGTATAACCATAAAAATAAATATTAATTAAAAGTGAGATTGTGTCTACTGAGATGTAAAAAACTACCAATATTCTTTTCATACAAATCAAACAGTTGTTGGTTACTCTTGCATATTAGCGCTATATTTTAATGAGAATTGGCATGATCTTTTTGTATGTTGCAGATTTACAAATTTAGGGCTTAATTTCCTTGTTACTTTTGCATGATTCATTTTGCAATGCAGCTACTCCTTAGAACATCAATAACTCATAGACTTGAGATATCATAATAACAGAACTATAAATACCTATAAGGAATTACTAATAAAAGAGGATTTATGTAACTTTACTAAAATATTCATCTAGAGAAGCAATAGAAGGGAATGAGATAGCTTGAATAATAGAACATTATAACAATTTTGTGAATTAAGACACAATTCAGCAGTTGAGAACTATTTGGAAACTTCATACAGAAGGACTCATTTAAACGTGTAGCTCTATAATT